GCACTGTCCTGCCTAACCCCTGTATCTCCTCAAGCGCTAGCGCAGACCAACTCACCAAACCTCTGAGGAGTCACTGACACCTTCTCCCCTGGACCATCCTGTTTAGCCTCTTCACCCAACCCAGACTCAGGCAAGGATCCTCTCATTCCCGGTCCCACTGCTGTGTCCTGTGGCATACCGAGCTCCTGATGTAGCTGCAGACTCATGTTCCGGCTCCCTCTGCCTCCTAACCTCCGTCCGGGTCCTTTCTGCCACCAGGGTCTGTGATGCGGTCACGTTCCAACGTGCTGCCATAACAAACGCGCTCCGCAATGATGTCATTCCTACCCATTTTCCGACCCTACATATGCACTCCATTGCCTCCTTGCTGCGTCACTTCCGGCGCTGACTTCCTGTCGTAGCTTCCTTCCACAGCACCTCCATCTTGGGCCCAATCTCTGGCTCCGACACCAGGTCGTCTCCTGCCTCGTACCACACTCCCAGTCCAGCACTGCTTCTCCAAACAGGACTGGGGGATAAGCGCGATGGAGGCCTCGACCTGGCCCTCCGTCCGCCCATAGACGCTTTAACCGCTGTCACCAGGTCAACCACCACTCCTGGGCATCTTTCCACACCGGACATCACATCCTCCAAGGCCACTGCTCCGTTGGATTCAAGGTACACCTGTAACAAGGCCACCATAGCCTCTCTGGACACCGACATCCTTCGTCAACTGACACCAGAACCACCGTAGGGAGAGCTAAATCACAAATTCTATTTTTTTTATTTTTTTTGTGTTGGGCACACGCCAGCCAGCCAGAAAAGCTAGGATCCCCACACTTCTTCTGACAGACTGGTAAGTCCTCTCCCTACTCCCTCCTTTTTATCCCTTCTCCCTAACTGTATCTCTTTTGGTCCCAACCCCTTAGCTCTGCCAGTAGTCAGGTTCCCCATTCCTTGGCAGTCTAGGGAGGTACATTCCCACTGTGCTGCTTAGCTGAATGAGGAAACATTAGAATAAGCAGCACTGGACGGCTGTGATTGGATGAGAGTGTCTATTGACCACATTCAGTCTATCACTGAGTCATTGCAGGTATGAATTGGTATAACTACAAGGATGTGTGTAATCTCTGCCTTAGCCACACCTCCAGTGGACCAGGGGCTTTGGATAGCCAGAAGCTATCGCTCAGTGTTAAACTGCTCTAAAATGGTTTAAAACTGATTAGAGAGACAGTGCCAGGAGACGAAAGATGAAATGGTTATAGTGACTACAGTGTTCCTGATTATAACCACCTAATAATCTTGGTTGTAAGAAAGTTTGTTTCAATCGTCTAATAAGTTTTTTTAATTTTTTAGTGCTCTTCATAATCTGAAATTACATATATTATCAGTGACTAGTAGCTTAATATGTTTCATTTTTCAGTATGGAATATGTCAAAATGTTGGACAGCGTAAAAAAACACAATGTAATGAATAGTGTGGATGTTTTCTTGGCAAAAATGGCTGAAACATCCAGTTTTGATTTTGCAGCTATAATGTCTGCTCTGTATGTTTGCTGTTCCCTAAAGTGAAAAGTCTGGTTTTCTTTTTTCTTTACATAATTCTCATTTTTTTCATTGAATTGTTGTTTTTCTATTCTGCAGACTAAGAATGATATAAAATCAATTCTGGAAAACCACAGGAAACATGCAAAGGGTATTTTAGTGGACAAATATCTTGCAAATTGTACGAGGAATTAATACTACGTATTGACTCTTGTGGGATCTCAGGAGATTAGAATTTCCTGGGCATTCTTTACGCTTTGCAGACTTTAAAGATACAGACACTTTCATTTTTTTCTGAATAGAAAGATGTTAACCTACATAGTTGTAAGTAAAGAGTCAATGTGATTATCACATCATAAAATAATGATTTTCTTCTGAACATTTGTTTCATTGTCCAAAAGCAGTGTAATGGGGGCTAGTCTATGACGTTTTACAACAAATAAAAATGTGGTCTCAGTTTATGGGCTTGCTTTACTAGATGGAGACATAAGTGCATTAAAATAATCTCTCAAAGTGTTAACTCTCAAGGGACCAACAAGCCAAAACCATTAGTCACCCTTCAAAAAAAAGAAAATGAACACCCTCTGACTATCAGTGTTTGGAATAAGGGGATTGGATACTTGTTGCTTGCTTATTATAGAAGACATGAGGATCCCTACCCCACTGCCTAGAAGGAAAAGGAAGGGGTAGGAGTCGGTTTCAAGACCCCAAAACATCTGATTGATCACCTGCCACACTAAATTAAAGGTAAGAGTAATGGCTATTTGCCTGGCTCGTTTCCAGTAATATGGGTGGAAGACGAGAGGGCTAATTGTTGAGCTCACACTTTTTAACCAGTAGGGTTATTCACTTAAATCACAAATGTTTGAAATTCAAAGTCACTTTAAAATTGAAGGCCAAAATAATTGAACTGGAAAAATTTTCCCAGACAGCTATGCTTCACGTTTGTCTTCTTCAGCCTTAAATTTGAAATTCACTGTGAACTCACTACTAATCCCCAACAATTCTCACTTGTGAATAACCCGGTTAGTGTTCCAAGTACCACCAATATCTATTATTAAATTCTCCACCTACATTGGATTCCCCACCTACATTGCATAATAGAAGTAAATACCTGGAGGCAGCAGCCCCAGGCAGACCCCAAGTAAGAATGTGGGTTGCTCCTGGCCACTACTGACACTATAACCACCATAGCCCACTGTAGTAGTTATGGTGCCTGGTGTGTTCCATCAAAGTTGTGGTATAAAAGATTATTAGGATTATTGAGTTTAAGGGTAGAGTTGGATTAAATTTAGTATTATGGTATAGTGTCTAAGAGTTAAACCTAGGATTAAGGTAAAGAGTTTTTTTAAATCAGTTGTAGGTAGTTTAGCCTTTTTTGTGGCTAACAAAAGGATTTTATTTTGGGAGGGGTTAAATTTAGGTTTAGAGGAAACAAGGTGTTAATATAAGACATGTGGAGTTTTAAGTGTTACTTGAAAAGTACTAACCCTCCTAAAATTGACAGTAAAACAGTAAGGCTGTTATATAGTATGCATCACTCAGTGCTTTTATCAAGTTCTCGGCTAGCATTTTCGAAAGTATTTCACTTGCTGTTTTGAACCAAATACTTTAAATAATACTAAATACTAAAAACTAGGGCATTATGATCATCCTTTTGTTTGGATGTTATAAAAAGACAATGTCTTTTGATTCTCTGTTATATATATATAAAAAAAAAAAAAAATACTGTTTAAGAAATGCTGCCCTAAAGCATTTTTATTCAGTATGGTTATTTATTGAAGGTAGCATTCAAAGTAGCTTTATCCTCAAGCCTTTGAATTATCTTCCTTAAGAGACGAGAGATATATGATGCAATGTTTAATTTAACCTTTTCAGTGTCAGTGGAGTGAATAGTAGATTAAACTCATAAGGTTACAACCTACAAGAGAAAATGTAATTTTGGCAATTTGTAGATTATTTATTCTGTATAATGTCGAACACAAATCTTTATGCGTAGCGTATATTAAGTTCTTTTTACAATTAAGATTAAAGATTGCAAAACAATACCAAAAATGTGTAATAATCAATGGCGCCAAAGAGTGCATATAGTGCCACTGTTAGTGCAACTTAAAATTACCGTGGAATCATCACACAAAATGTCCCACTCGAAATGCAAATACAATAAAAAATAAAAAGGTGAATAGCGCGCTACGGCACAATAGTGATGTAGTGACCTTATATGTATTGTGATATTTAACACACACAATGGAAACATAGAATGTGATGGCAGATAAGAACCATTCGGCCCATCTAGTCTGCCCAATTTTCTAAATACTCTCTTTAGTCCCTGGCCTTATCGTATAGCTAGGATAGCTTTAAGCAATAAGGGTATATCCTTATAACATCTTGGATATTCACTGTAAAAAAAAAGCATAAAAACACGTGATGGTATCCCACTCACATTTATTAGAGCCTATATGCACTGGCTCAGGTGTATAAGCTTGATGATATTGCATAGTAAATCCCAATCTGGAATATTCATGGTGGATGCTCCTCAAAGATAATGATGGAAAAACACTAAATGTAAATTAAAAGAATAACATTTATTAATAACAAACTTATAAAATCTTACATTAAGGTATACCACAATCAGCACAATGCGTTTTAACACTGTCTGTGTCTTCCTCAGGTGCAATGACATTATACAGTGTAATGCCTCTTTTAAAATACCGATATTGGTGCCATAATGACTTCATCCTGTTGTCCGCATCACTTTCGGTTCCGCCTGCTGCTATATATTTCATTCGGCAGCCATCATGGCACTCTCTGAGGTTACCACCTCACTACAGTTTTCTGCTGGAAGAGCCAAATCGCCCATATTGCAGCCGTTCTTCCTTATCATCATGTGCCTTCTAGGGCATCTGTACATCACCTTTTTAGTGTGTATTAAGATTAAAGATTGTTCAGTTTAATCACTAAACAGTGAAATATAGTGAATATTTCTATGGTGAAGATATTTTGTCTATTGGACCTGAAGAGAGCCCTGTCTATGGTTAAACCACTCCAAAATAGTTTAGAGAACAAAAGAGGGATGGCACTCATAGACTCAAAGCACCATTACCACTACAATGAGTAATGTCCCTTTAATATTATTTGACACCGTGTTTATGTCATCCAGGTCGTAACTGGGGAAAAAAATAGAAATATATTGTTCTTGTCAAAATACTTAACAAATAAAGCTTTGAGCTACAAAATGCTGGTGTAAACGTTGCATACTTTGTATAACCCAATTGTGCATAAGATAAAATAGGTGTAACGATATGCACCCCATTACACAAAAACAGATGCATCTTTAACATAGCAACATATTTTATTATGCACTTTGGCTAGTGAGTTTACTAGTAAAATGTGTGCATTTTATTTTACTACTTGCCAATAAGCATGACCAAAAAAAAAAAGATCTGGGTAAAGGTTTCCTTCAAATTAAGGGAACGTCTCCTAACCTCTAAACAGCACAATGAGTAATGATTCAGGTTAATTTAGCATACATTATTTGCTTCCCCCCAACAAAGGAGACATTGGCATCTTCTCCCATTTCTAATAATAATTATTGGATTTTATCACTGACTTTTTGGGGATGATATATCCCAGTGAAATTATTTTATTTGCGCAAGAAATACTACATAACCTTTCTACAAAGCTAAAGACACTTTATGTATGTATGTATGTGCAAGGTTTTCTTTAGAAAGGAGTCAATAAATAGCCTATCTCAAGCATTGTTTTCATTTCCGCTGACACAGGTTTAAATGTCAAAGGCCAGCGTGTGGGAAGCGATGGGGTTTTAGAAACCCTTAACAATCCAATATCCAATAAAGCTGTACATGAGAAAAATTAGATTTTCTGCACACAGTCTGAGCCACTGACGATATGCACTGGATTCCAAAGTTGTGAGGATCAGAGGAATGCGGAGCAATATGTACGGCAAAATCACAAAGAGTGGCAGATGTTGCTAGATTTTTTTTTCTTAATTCCTATTTTATTTACTGAAGAGATTGAAATGACGAGGGATAATGTGTAAGGGTTTGTTTTAATGAGCCAATATTATATATATTTTTTTTTATTTTTTTATTTATGTGTGCTAGCAATGGACAGAGTCCCTGGGGGAAAAGCTTGCACCAAGACTTTCTGTTACTGTCGTACAGAATATCATATCATACTAGTTTAGCTTCAGAACAGCCTACCTCCTAACATTTGAATTGTTAGCGTTGATTTCCGGAAAAATACACTTTGCTTTATTTTCAGATTTTAAGAAAATAAAGCCTCTTTTGGATTTTTCACTGACGTTCTGAGTTACAAAGGTTATTCAGAGTTATTTGCTAAAAGGATAATTTAAGGTAATGTCAGCTGACAGGGGATACCTAATGCGCATGCGCGGCAATGGTCGCGCTCACAATAGTATTTTCCCCATAGAAGCATTGTATACTACTTTCTTATGGGGTTTTACATGATACTGGATTCCCTCATGCATAGCATGAGGACAGCCAGCGTCAGTTTGGCGACCAAAAGTTGCCTAACCACCCGGAAGTCCCTCTAGTCCCTCTAGTAGACAACCACTAGAGATGGAGTTAACCATCAACGGTAATTATTGCAATTTATTAAAAACTGTAATAATTACGTTTGCAGGGTTAAGGGATCTGAGACTATGCACCCAGACCACGTCAATGAGCTGAAATGGTCTGGGTGCCTGTAATATCCCTCTAAGCAAATAACTTTGATAATCAGGCATCTTGGCAGAAACTTAAAGGAATACTCTAGTGTCCTGGTGTCACTCCCCTCCTCCCCCACTTAAGGTTGCCACCTTTCTCTGGAAATATACTGGTCATGTTAATTTGCATAATTGATTCTTTAGATGCAACATCACAAGCATAAAAAATAAAATACATTTGAAAGAGCAACATTTTTTATTTTTTTAAGATACTACTTACAATTTGTGTCCTGCAGTTTTGGGTAGATTGGAGTCAGGAGCCTGTCCTCTGCTTTGCTAGCTCATGCACCCACCTGCCATGCCATTGGTTAGGGCATGTCTAATAAACAGTGAAAAGCCATTGGCTACTCACTATAATGAAAAACTATTGACTGGGCAGCTATTTCTATCACTAATAACATATAGGGGTGAGGGCTATTAAATAAAACATAAGACATTCTACTGTCCCCCAACAGTGTCCACCAATGAGTGGTGAGTGGAACTAATAATGAAATACAAGACAGATACTTAGTGTCGCCACCATTCCCCACCCATAGGCGGTGGGTGCTAATAATGATATAATATACAAGAGGACACAGAGTTCCTCAAGCCCCCATCCATAGGCAGCAAGTAGAGGCTAATAATATCAAACACAGGGGGGACTTAGTGTGAGGGCAAGTAATACTACAATACCCTCTATTATTTTTCATCCCCTGTCCTTTAAGGGGCATTTTTTAACAATAGCTGCCCACTTGCTAGTTTTTTTATTACAGTAAGCAGACATGTATTTACCTGCTGCACGGAGGATGGAGGAATATATACTCAATTTGGTAGTTATATTGATACCCATAGTTTTTTTTTGAGCCTCTTAATTAGTAAATTTTAGTCATTAAAAAGGACAATAAATGTTATTCCCGTGCACATTTATCAGTGGTTTTATCTTGACCTGCCAACCCAATTAAAAACAAATCGACTAAAATAATCAATAATTATTGGCTGTTTTTTTCTGATGGAATTAAATGGAGGCGTTAGTGAGATTTTTTTTCAGCAGAGCCTTTTTTCATGCAATGTCCACTGAATACAAACAGTAAGTGAAAATGTACCTTATCCTATAATGTAAAACACAATAATGTAAAGACAGACAGGAGTTATTCAATCACATTCTCATAGTGTATATGCTTTAAGCTTGCTGAAGTGCTTTATGTCTGAAGAGTGTGTCCACTTTCTTCCATTTTACAAAAGTGAGATCTCAATAGAAATTGACACTTTTTAAAATTAGCCTTGTTACACCCTCTCTGGCTGTCAATCAGACAAGAGAACCTGTTACTTCCTGGTTGGGTAGCTCAGTGGGGCTAACACTCAAGAGGAAGCAAATTCTCAAAGCACCTACCTTGCAAAGACATTTTCAACTGTTTTAAGAAGTCTGTGATTGGACAGCCACAGAAAATATGGGTGGGATAAGAAGAAGAGGGTTTGCAAATGTTTCAGACAAGAGATCTGCAGCTTTATTTAAGCTCTTTTCAAATATACTCCCAATAAAAATAAAAAATGCACAATTAAATGCATGAATGTTTTCATTGGAGTATATCTACTAAATAGAATTTATTTTTTTTAATTTGAGGACTAATATGTCCTTTTAATCTGTGAGTAGGGCATAACAAAAATGAAGAGCTTTATTGTATTTAAGCAACAAATTTTGACAGCTGATCTTGTTTGACTGTTAGAACCCCCCCTCAATAAAAAAAAACTAACACAAAAAAACTCCAAAAAACAGGAAAGCGTTATGAATGGAGATCTTCGCTGTAGATTACCACATATTGTAAACATCCAGAGGCATATTCAAGAAGACAGTACCAAAATAAGTTTGTTCCACAGGAAGGTCAGAATAAGTCACCTTCTGCAAATCTTTGTCTAATTTCTAGTAAAAGATATTATGCTATTATGATATTTGTACATGTTGATTGGACATACTGATTACTACAATATATTACTAATATATTGGGTTGTATTCATTTTTTTTTTTTTTTTTTTACAGTTTTTAATGGTCTCATTGTAGTCCCATCTCAAGAGATAGGTAAACCACTTGGAAGCTTTCTTTCCGGTAGCGGGATCAGATATTAAAAAAAACCCTCTAATTAGACATATTAATCACTTTCTATTAGGTACAGTAAATATACAGTAATAAAAAAAATCAAGAATAAAAAATGGTATTTACACAATTCTTTTACAACACACTCATTGCCCATTTATCATTCCCATAATGCAAATATTTTCTGTCTTCTTCCGGACGTCTTCTGAACTGCTGATTGTGAAGTTTACAAGCAGTACTTGTTTCCTTTCTAGCATGTAATGGGGAGTCTAGTGAATCTCAAAGTTATGTCTCGGAGTCATTATGCGATCTGCAATTCAAAGGTTCTCGGTATTCTGCTGTATATCAAATATCGCTTGGTACGGGTTCTGTTCTACCTTGTCAGAATAGTAAAATGTAATGAATAAATAGTGTTACTTTGCACACTATTACTACCCTTTATACAATATGTATTGATTGATTATTGGACATTGTAAAAGCTTTCAGGAATACCGTATTTATCGGCGTATAACACTCACCGGCGTATAACACGCACCTCATTTTAAGAAGGAAATTTCAGGGAAAAAAAACTTAAAGGACCACTATAGTGCCAGGAAAACGAGTATGTTTTCCTGGCACTATAGTGGTCCTTTGAGTTTTTTCCCCCTGAAATTTCCTTCTTAAAATGAGATGCGTGTTATACACCCTCAGGGACCCCCTCCCGCCAGGCTCTGGAGAGAGGAAGGGGTTAAACACTTACCTTTCTCCAGCGCCGGGCGGGGAGCTGTACTCCTCCGCGTGCGCGCGCATTCAGCCGGTCGCATAAGAAAGCATTTACAATGCTTTCCTATGGACGCTTGCGTGCTCTCACTGTGATTTTCACAGTGAGAAGCACGCAAGCGCCTCTAGTGGCTGTCAATGAGACAGCCACTAGAGGCTCTGGAGGCTGGATTAACCCTCAGTATAAACATAGCAGTTTCTCTGAAACTGCTATGTTTATAAAAAAAGGGTTAATCCTAGAGGGACCTGGCACCCAGACCACTTCATTAAGCTGAAGTGGTCTGGGTGCCTAGAGTGGTCCTTTAAATTTCAAATAAAGAACTTCTCACCCCCCTTTCTTACTCCCCCCTCCCCCTCTTCTTACTTCCCCCTCCCCCTCTTACCCCCTTCTTACTCCCCCTCCTCTTACCCCCTTTTCTTACTCCCCCCTCTCTTCTTACTTCCCCTTCCCCTTTCTTACTCCCCTCTCTTACCCTTTCTTACCCCTCCCTCTTCTTACCCCACCCTCCCCCTCCCCTCCCCCTTTCTTACTCCCCCCTCCCCTCTCACTCCCCACTCCCCTGTAGCGTGGCCGAGCCGCTCTGCTGTCCGCGGTGGCCGGCCGGCCGGAGTGATAGGAAGGTGCACGTTCAGTTCAGAATAGCACCTGCTTTTACCATGATAAATCTCCCCTGTGTATATGTATCTATGTTTTTTTGTCTGTATGTGGTTACATCCCTTTATGGTGTTAGAACGGAGGGATCTGGTTATACCCTGTACCAGGGGTAGGCAACATTTTAGTAGTACTCTGAGACAACAAGATCTTACGTTTCTTTAAATTGAGGTGTGTATATTGCCATATTCTGCTTGTGTTATTAATGGGTGCTGCATTTGCTTGGTAGCATTGTATTTGTGCATATGTGGGCTTTTATATTATAATAATATATGTTCATGAGTAATGTGGACTGTGTATGCAGGTTGCTTGTGGAATTGTGTATATTAATTAGACATCTCAGTGTTTTTGGTGGTGTGTGTATGTGTGGGAACGCTTGTGGAATTGCATGCTTGTTGGTGTGTGTGCGTGTATGTGGATTGTCAGTGGTGTTGTGTTTGTGTGTGGGCTGTTTGTATTATTATGAGGCTTCTTCTTAGCAGCGTGGGTGGCTTACCTGAGGTCCAGC